GAATTAGGCTGCTTGGCTTCAACGCCGCTGTTTACGGAAGTGAACAGTAATAACGAGTTTTAATAAATTGCGCCGTCTGATCATTTCAATGTTTGTTTTGAACATTTCGGCGTTAACATTAACAGAACATCAGGTGGAATAATGCAGGCCAATAAAATCTTTAAGCAACTTCATCCAAACAAAGATATCCGAATTTAAAACAGCTTTATTTGCATTTGATATGGACACCCTGAAATGTGTGAATGTATCAAAACCATCTCACAAAAATGATGCAGCCACATGTAAACACCAGCATTTGTATTGACAACATAGCACAAAGTTAAAGTCAATTTTTTTAGTGGATTCAGACAACGGATCTCATGAGCAAATCCTCGCAAAAATCTGCAGAGCAAACTCACATCTTCTCGAGCACAATGCCCTTGGCGTGAGAGGCTCCACCAAAGGGGTTGGCCTTCAGGGCCGTTCCCAAGTGAGCCTTCTTGTAGCCTTTGTCGCTCCATCGCTGATCGCGGCGATGGATGCGCAGTTTACGAGCTGTACGCAGTCCTCTAGGCTTGCCACTTCCTGAGTATCAAAATTGGAATAAAAACACAACTATGGCTTATCAAGACATTCGAATATACATGTATGCTCAACACTGACTCACGTGTCAAACACTGAAGGTCGATACTTAAAGAAAAATAAGCCACGAATGTTTGGCCAGAAATTATGTGTACTTTCGTATCATTTCTCTTTGAATTCTGCTTGTCCATTGGTTAATTTGATTTTACTGTCAGACCTATTGTTAGCTTAACCCTAACACTCCTCAGTCCTCCAACAGGTGAAGGATTGAGGAGGGTTAGGGTTAATTAAACTGCACTTAAATCAGGTCACAGATCACAAAGAAATATGTCATGAAGATTAGGTTTGATAGCTGCAACTTTCAATAGATTGCACATGTTTTTTAAATTAGATCACGATGTTAATTTCTCCTTTTTTCATCAATGTCATTACTGGGGTGTAATTACACAATCTGTGCAATTGCTGGATCTCTGTGACAGGCGTGACTGATTGATCGGCACGGTTGCTTGATCTATGCATGATCCGTAAATCTTACTGCATGACTTGTCAATAATTCTACCATTGGCCAATCATATTTTCTTCCTAATTCACAGTTGAGGAAGGATGCTTTGAAAAAGAGAAGTTAAGTTCAAAATTTCCTATAGGATTGACCAATCCCATGTGATTAAGTTATGATGCTGTTTCTGAAATTGCATGTAACATCTGTGCGTGCTCGATCAGCTGACCTTGCTGACATGGCTGAGCAATAAGTCAGTAATTTCACCTTCTGACAACTTCCAGAACTGTACGGTTTATACATCCTTACAGATGATTGGCCCAATTTGCTTCTATTCCAATGACCAATCATAGCTTGGCTTTCATTTGTGGGAAGACCAGAAAAAAGATAGGAGCCGTGTTGCGATTGGTCAACCTGGCATGCTGCAGACAACAATCGAGAGAGTACACACCCCTGATTTTTCTGTGGAGTGGATGGGCAAAATACTCATGAATTTAACCATTTTACATGTTTTAATGGGGATATATAAGGTGAATAAACCTCCTCAGCAGACATGAAACCTCACCAAGAAGGGATGGATGAAAGTTTGTTGCACAAATATCTGTGATGGCAGAGTAAAGTGGCACAATCAAACAGCCAAAACTGTATTTACACAAATTACAAGTTTGTACATTGGTAAGGTTTGTACAAACCTAACAGTTCCGGAATAACGTTCTTACAATTGCCTTTTCAGTTGTGGAACAGATTTTATACAGGACTGGCTAACACAACTATCTGTGCTAAGTCTACACGATTGATTGTGCTGATCATATATCAACCAACACTGACCGATATTCCAACGCAACAGCCTGTGTCTCTTTAATCACACATTTTGTTGGCCCAATCACTCATTTAGAAAGACACACGGTGTCTATGCACTCTCTGTTCCGCAAACATTTAAATAAACTTTAAATTCTCTGTGCAAAAAATATTCCTTAATTTCTAGTGTCCGGAAACTGGGCAAACTTCGTGAACACGGGCATGGCATGCTGGGAGTGGAAATAAAATATTCGGTACCGTTTTGCCGTACCACTCCACATTCTGACCAATTAGTTTCAACGTTATGATTACCAAAAGGAGCAAAACATAGTCAAACGTTATTCACTACGGTCTAAAGATTATAACACATGCGTGTTCATTCACAAATTCTCTACGGTTAAGACGAATTATTAAGTTGAAATTCGGGCACGTGTCTCACTCACCCATCGTTGTGGATTGCAAAGGAACGAAAAGGCCTTGCTAAAGGAAAGTGGCATACACAAGCACAAGAGGGCGCATTATTGCAACGCATTGGCGACGGCTATTGTCTGTTTCATTAAAAACATTTTGACTCCCTTTTATTGAGATAAACGCCCCTCAAAGGCTTTTAACTCCAGTGCATTTTAAATATGTTGTTCTTTTAATAATACTGTTAAACAATAGGTTTGAACAAAAGTGGTAGCCATTTATTAGTCGTCAATTTTCCATCCATAGCCTCGGCGTCCCTCTGCTGATCCAACAGCAGAAATTGCACACATCATATGATGGAAGGTCAGTGCACTTCTCCTAATCATCATTTTGTGGAGTTCAGCCGTCATGGAAGGATCGATACAGTTTGTGCTTTACATTTTGGCGATATTTTCGCCCATTTTTTGCTTTGGTGAGCAAGCAGTCCCACTCATAGCATGGTCCAATACAAGGTAAATATGAAAACTTTATATCTAGTATGTTCTGGAATTATGAAAAATGTTTCTGTCATTTACATGTATCATGTTTAGTCCGTAGTGTTCATGTCAGTCAATGTGTGGAATGACATCATCTTTTTTCATTTTGAATGACAAAATTTCAACATTTAGGCCTGCTGAATGATTTAGGCCTACCCCGTTAGTATCTTAAAAGTTGTAGATAGATTGCATATAACTGTGTACCTTTTCCTGCATTTTGTGAGGATAGGCCCTTTGCATTACAACGCAACGTGTAGATTTTATGTACTTGTTCGGACTGGGGGAGTGACTGTTGCCTTGAAAATGTTGGTGCAATTGGTCAATCTGGGCAACACGTCAATCTTTGCCTAATCCGTCAATCTACAACCGGTACATTACTGCGTGATTTGGCAATAATTTTGCGATCAGCGGATCACAGTTTTTATCTAACTCGTTGTTGTTTGCACGGTTGTGGAAGATAATAATGCACCATGGTCATGCTGATTGACTAACTGTGCTCAACATATAGGCCTAGGGCCTAGGCCCTATACACACTTTGTCCTCTCCAATTTTACTTGGAGGTCTACATCATTTTTTCTATTGGCCATATATTGCAGATCTTTTACCAACAAACCTAGAATTTCTGCTGGGAAGGTTATTACCAGGGAAGAGCTGAGTACCAACTATTTGACCAGCATCCTACATTCAAAGCCCCAGAATATTTTCCTTTTTGTCTTTGATGAGGTGAGTGTGCAAGTATGGCCCTACATCCTCTGTTCAGATTTGAACCATAAGCACGGCTAATTATTGGTAATAACCACTGTCCAAGTCTGACCCCATTTTGAGTTCCATTGGTAATATTTGATAATGGTCAGGAAAGTGTATTAAATCGAAAATATTGGAGATATGTAGCAATGTCTTTACAAGTGATGTAGTTACTGAGATGCATCCCATTTGATGATTGACGGCTGAAGTTTCCAGCATTAGATGCCTGTCATGGACATTCTTCCGTTTACGTGTACATGTGGTTGAAAAATCGGGGGAGAAAAATTATTTTATCCACAGCATGAACTCTCTTTCAACTTGGTGTTTTGATAAAAAATGGTAATGTTTATCATTTAGTAAGGAATAACTGTATCTCGTAAATTCCTCTAACACTGTCTTTCAAGAAGTAGAAACCTTGGCAAGTCCACATGATGTCTTCACTGCCTGCATTCTGTGGGCATACTTTTTCCTCCGGTTCACACAAGGAACACATTCACTTGTCCATGTATACATGTACATCTAAACCCTGCCTGCGTGTTATCATATGCACCGAGGATGACATGCTACCCAATTCTGTTTAAGTCGTGGAACCTCTTGGGTAATTCTGCCAAGAACTGTTGCCAATCTTTAGAATACCTCCGTGTATATGAAACCAGTAGCATTTTTACATGTAAACTACCCAGATTAATTTAACTCTGAACACAGTTCCCCATTTTACCATATGACTCAAAAATTTTAATAAGACTTCGATTCAAAATTTAACATTGTCACTAAATTTGTACATTTAACATGAATACTTTTTTATGCATTAAGGAGAAACCAATCATTACCTGAATTTGTGTTTCTGTTGTTTGGTTATGAGTGTCTGTCTGTGGAAATGACTCCATTTCCTGTGTTATGCATAAAATTTCTACTGGTGACTGGTTACAGTGTGTGCACACCGAAACAGGATGGGGCTTGTAGTTGAGTAATTTTCAAAGGCTGTTGTCAGGACGGAAGACCTTGTAGTGCCCTACATGCAGCATGCTTTTCATTCCATTTTCATTAATTATTAAGCTAGTTAATAATTCTTTGCCAACAGAGGGCTAAATGTTAACTCCAAATGTCCTCGCCAGAGACAAAAAATCCTTTGCATCGATTTAAAAACTTTAAAATTTGTTTCGTCCAGGACCACTCATCATGTGGACAAAAAAGAAAAAACATTCTTCTCAATTTTAATGGTTTTCCTTGAAATTGTAGTGAAAAGAAATGTGACTTGGAAAATGGGAGCTTATTATTCATATTGAACAAAATGTGTAACCAGCCTCCCTTCCACATCAGTTCTATTTCATGTATCCATACACGTACATGTACATACATGAAGGTCTGATGAAAGCATCCTGCATGGTGGTTAGGGTAAAGTGGCCTGCTTGGGGACACAACTTATTGCTTTTCAATATGTGGGATATAAGATCGTGTGCTTCTTATTCTGTGTGGCGTGGAAGAAACTGTCAGTGGTGTGCAGTGTCCGGCAAGTTAATAGTTGATCTGTCTAAATTCCACAAATCATTCATAAAATTTGGCCTTGCTGGCAGACAGCGGTAGACTAGTCAAGTGCTAAATACCCGGGAAGGTCATTTCTCTCAGAACAAAGATTCACCGAAAGTTTTGTGTCAGGTATGAGATTTTGTACAGTTCAAAAGGGTAAGCATCTGCAAGATGCTCTCTATTTGTTAAAATTTCCGAAAGCAAAGTGTAACTGGTTTTTCAAATTCTCTTCTCAGTTGAGCATTGATGATGTTACCCGCTACAGCGATGCTTACAATTCAGATGGACAAGGTGGTGCCTTGAGTCACCTCAAAGTAAGACATGGCCATGTGCATGTGTAATCCGGAACTTGCACAATCTGAGTTGTTAATGCACCTTTTGTGAAAATGTGTAAAAGGAAGATTTGAAATTCACCATACCTCATAAAAGTATTCACGCACAAGGTTTCTCAGCTCTTGAAATCTCTTGCCCTTATGATGTCTAAGGAAATTGAGTTGCTTATGTGAATCTTTGTCATGCAAACTACCCGCACTAGGTGTCAAAAGGTATTCAGTAAGTGTTTGGCCACATCAAACAATGCATGTGTCTCTTTAATCCACCCAACCAAACCTACACTGTACATGTAGGGATGGTGTAAATATTGTCATTAGTTAAAAATAAATGAAAGGAAAAGATTGAAACCCGTCCTCTTTGACCGACTCTGTACGCAATGGCATTAGAGTGTACATGTACATAGTAAATTTCATTGTGAATTAATTTTCTGTGTTTAAAGTAATTTAAGCACTGTTTAAAATGAAATTGCAAATTTCAATAGTGAAACAAATCACATTAAATCAGTAAATCTTTCACCGTACTGATAATTTTCCCAATTTTTGTCTCTGCAGAAGGCAATGACTGAATCCCTCTCAAGTCTAGTACTGCCCTCTGTTGAGCTGGGTGACCTTCAGAAGGAGCTGAGTTCAAAGGTCAGCGGTGCCACAGTTGACCTGCATAACCCTATCCTGGGTAGTGGGACCCTGGACACAACCAAGACCAATCTGGTGGTGATGCGCTTTGATGTGGCCTCAAGGTAAGTGGGAAAAAAGCCCCTGTGTCCCAAACTGTAGTGAGCATTGTTCTTGCTTATTAGAAACCTGGTTTGTTTTTTTGACCATGAATGTGTCTGCACTGGCTATTAGTTGGTTGTTTTGGTGGCATCAGTAATGGCCCTATGATGTCATTGTACCGACAAAACAAGAAACAAAGACAGGAGTTGGTTCATTGCTGGTTCAAGTAGAGGAAATAAGCAGACAGTTTTGATTTCTTCAAACCTAATTGTTAATTGGCGTGTTTTCCTTTCAGTGATTCAAAAGAGGAGGCCTTTTCCAATGCTGATAACATCATGAACTCCATGGTTCGGGGACAAAGGAATTCCTTCACAGCAATCCTGACAGCAACTCAGAAATCAGTGGTAAAATAATTCAAAATTCTCTTTGGTAGATTTATTAAGTAGTATTAAATGTTGCAGATAGGAACATGTATGTGTAGCCAGGTGTGATTCTAACACCAGAGGTCATTTTAGTAACAACCATGGTTTCGCTTTGCGTATCTGGGCTTAACTTTCGATGCAAGAAGTAAAAAGGTTTGGTTTATTTATTTAATTAGAAATATTAGGTTGAGGTCCAGTCACAACCCAGACAAAGCAAATTTTATCTTGGTCGGTTACCTGCCTTTGCTGAGTAGTAAAGACTGTGCTTATGAGCTTTGTGACATTGGCCCCAGGAATTAAAGTCTGTAGGTAGCTCTCCTGGCCTCGTGCCCAGCACATAATCTCTATGTGAGCGTGACACGATTCCAAGGTTTTGTCAAACCTGTCCATGTTCATGGCATGTACATGTATGGAGTAGCCTCTATAGGATTACCTGTGAGCCAGTGTGTGCATATGTGACCGCCTCATGCCACCACAGGTTACTTGACTGATCATGCCTAGTGATTAGTTATTAGTTGGTACAGTTTTGAAGTATCTTTGTAAAACTTGCCTGACGAGTTGAGATTATCAATTAAACGTCAGATTGTGTGGTAGGTGCTACTGAATACATCACGAGCTGTTCAAATGCTGCAGAATACATTGATGCTTATTGAACTGTCCCAATTCCTCCCTAGCCGAAGCCACCACCTAGCGACCGACTGACCATCAGCCGGCATCTCCTCCAAACTGACGAGTCGTCTTTCATTGCCTTCTACAACAGCAAGACTCCAGAATGCAGTGTCTACATGACAGCCAATGCCCTCAGCCTAACCATGGGCTCGGCCAAGCCGATCACTTTGCCCAATTCCGGTTGGTCATTTTCCAACTCCTCTTGTCGGACCGATGGAGATGAGCAAGTGATCGTTAAGTAAGTTCAGTTTATGCTTTGTATAATTTATAATTCATTAGCTGCACACGAATGATCAGTAAAAATGGAAAGAAGACGAAAAATTGTTTTTGTTAACTCACCTCTGACTCAGTTTCCCTGATAATTGAAATAGCTTGTGTGACGTACCTGAAAGAGGATAGAGCATTTTTGTAATGCGAGTTTGAAATAGTTGAAAATGTTTCCCAAGTTCAGTGCCTGCATTCAAGTTCTGTTCATTTGACAGTTTGGAAATGAAGCTGGATAAGGATCTTACCGATCTGAAGGACTTCAAAATGAGGTGAGTTACCGTACTTAAGTCCTGGATATTTTTAACGAGACGACTAATCAGTATTTCTTAGTCTACCAACAAGGGATTGTTGGCCAACTCACACCATTCTCTGTAAATTTAAAAGGCTTATTTTGTTGTCGCCATACACTAGCAAAAATGACAAGAATTTCACTTCTCAATAGTGCTTGTTTACATTCTGTCACAATTATCTGTCCGTGCATCCACACTTGGATATAACTCGCAACCCATAGGAAGTTCCTTGGTCACTGAAAACTTTGCATGGGTATGTTGTCAAGCCGTCCATTATGCCGTCGCCAATGCCCTATGTGCATATATAGGGCATTGGCAGGGCCGAGGGTGAACAAAGAAGCCGTTATGTAACAGTCTAATAAACGTAACAATGGCATTTTTTTAAAGCGCCCAGCCACGATTCATATAAAAGCATGGTGAATACGAATGTCAAAATCAAAATCATAAAACACCGCCCAGCAGGTTGTAATTCAAGGGAACTTTTTACCCAGCTTGAAGTGGTTAATAGAGAGATTGGTGCTCATTCACAAATGTTTCTTCATACATCTACCATTTTGCAGTTTGACCTTCATAACAACACCAAAGAAAGCCAATAGTTTCTGGACAGTATCGTCAGCTAGCTTTGTTGAGTTTGCAGAGGGCAGTGAGACGACCAAAACGTACGACCTCCAAACCGGAATCACTGAAACCCCCACCAGTTTCTCCTACCACTGCTCAGACGGCGTCTTTACCCTCTCACCCCGGCAGGGTCGCAAAGGTGTTACCTCAGGACAACTCATGATCACTGAGTTGCAGGTGGGTTGGCTTTGGAGTCAGTAGGATCCAGCATGGTGACCTGTATCTGCAATTAGATCATTGTCTTCATAGCTTCAGTCAGCTAAATATAAAAACTGGATATTTTATATAACCCTGCCCTTGTCAAAAATTTGTTTGGCAATATAATAATAATTTATTCTTGATATAGCATCTTGAACCCTCTTTCTGCTGTAACTGTCAAAAACAGTCAAATTCCTTCCACTTGATTTCCCCCAGTACACAGACACATATGGGAAATTTGACTGATTTTGACGGATATGGCAACTGTGTCAAGAATGCATCTTTGCATAGGAGGGTTAAATACATTATAAAAACTCTCAAAACGCTTTACCAGAGAATCATAAACATGCAAGTAGAACAAAATATCAATAAATTAACATAAACGTAAGATAATACCTTACAAAATTCAATTAATATCTTAAATATGTCACTTTGTTTTACATTGCACAGAAGGGAGCCAATGCCGAATCATTGTTATAGTGGACACAAGACATTTCAATGTCCCCTAATGCTCCAGCTACCAAAAGGGGGAAAATTTTTACCGTCCACATTTTGAGAGATGATAGATTAGGGTCTGAAAGGAAAACATGCAAAGTTTGGTTAAGATCGGATTGGGGAATATTGAATTATGGGACGATAAAGTTTGAAAAAATTTTGTGCACGTTCCTATGGGAATGTCTCCCAAGTAACCCATTTTCGGTAATTAACATAACCACAAATATTTCTAACTCATAAGTTCCTGTCTCCCACAGGTCTGTCTAGTGCTGTAAATTGTTGACGGGTCCACGCGTATTGTTCTCACAACCAAAATCTTATCCTGAAAAGGCACCTGACTAAATTTTGTTTTTGTTTGGTATTTTTGTTCAGGTTCAACCGTCGGGAATCACAAAGAAGGGGGAGGTACCACAGTTTGGTCCAGCTAACGATTGTGTAGGCTTCTTTACTGAAGGCATATGGATGGGTCTCTTCATGGGTCTTATCTTACTTCTCATCTTCTCCTTTGGTTTAGGTATGATGTCCAGCCTTAGGGTTATGGATAAATTTGATGATCCCAAGGGAAAAACTATTACTGTCAACACGTCTGCTGACTAGTCTGGTGTAATTTGTATGGGTTTTAAAGTATGCAGTAAAAACAGCTTTTGAGAGAGAATTGTAGATTGCTTTCGAATTAGTGTTTTATGTGGAAAGTGACGAGTGAGATTGCTGATTGTTAAATTTTAAACCAATCAGGGTTTGAGTTTGAAGCGGTTTGACCAATCAAAGGACAATTGTCAACAGACATGTCAATTAGAACATGGGCAAATATTCTCTTTCAAAGCTGTGCTGATTGTCATAAGTTGTAATACATGTACATGTAGGTATTACTTTTCAGTCTGGTTTAACCGTGTTGGAAATGTTTGTTATACTTGATTATATTGAGTCTAGCATTATGGGAACCATCTGTAACTATATGCAATGTAATAGTGTTACCATGTGGTAGTAAGTGGGAGTCCATTAATATTATGAAGTATGCTATTGTGTATCATAATCCTGTGGCACTTAGAACCAAGAACCTGAGAACTTGGAACCAAGAACTCTGCACAAGAGAACCCCATCTTGGAATCCATTTTCTTGTGATTGATTCACAATTGAAAGCCGTGCAATTTCTTTTATGTACGAGGTGAAAGTATTGGGAGACCCTGCAGACAAAACTTCAACAAATCTTGTAGAATTAAGCCGACATAAAGGTGCAGTCAGGTGATTTCTTTGTTGGAGAATGAGCCAATTCATTATTTCAAAAAGGCAAGTCGTTCAACCACAAGGCACCCAATTCAAACTGTTCAGCAGGTGTGAGTTGGCATGCGTGATACCTCGTGGTGGCTCTTGCTCTTCCCAAATGACCTCTGACATTCTTATCCTGGCATGGGTAGTTGGAATAGTGAAATGGTTGATTCAGAGTTCAAAGTTATCAACTCTAAGCAGCAGGAACCAGGATCCGATTGGAGGTATTGCCACTGAATGCAAGGCTTGTGTTGCATGTGTTCGTGTACTTCTATGAGCTGTTCTGGTAACGAGATGATGGATGAGGGGAAATCTTTTGAAGGGTTGTAGCTGAGAAGAATATTGGTGGGGAATTAAAGCAGTGTCTGTAATCAGAGCTTAGAACAGTTTGGTAAAAAAAGTGAAACAAGAAAAGGACTACCTATTAATTTGTCTAATCATGTGAATTGTGTTAAAAATTCTGAAAGTCGTAATTCTCACAATTTCCCTTGTTGGTCACTTGACTTCCAACTTTTTTTCTCTCTCAGAGGTTCTACTTGTTTGCCTTTTTCTTTTGATACAAATTTTTAAGGAATAAACTATATTCCTTCTCAGAATGGCCTCTTAGCAAAGTTATTTTCTTCGGGGCAAATTATGAATGTGGGGAATTCAAAATTCAAATTGTGTATCATGATTAGCAGATATGATCTCGTCAATTAGTAAAAATAAATTCCGGGAAAATGAAGCTGGACATACCACGTCAATCCTTTGTTATTGCTTTCACACAGTACAAATGGAATGTACACATTCTTTTAATATCAAGGTGCGACTTCAATACAAAGAATATAGTTTGGATTTTTGGACGGAAGTTTTTCCTTTTTAAAATGCTTCAAAAAGAGGAGGGAATGTTAATTGAACAATATTAACTCAATGTCAACTTCTTTAAATTCTATATTCATTTACTTTAAAAATATACATTTTCAAATACTTTTCCACAAGTCAGAGTTCCGACACTGAAAGATACTACAACTATTTATAGTATGTTTGAAGATTCAACAGAAATTCATCTTCATCTAGCACTTAATGGCGATATCATTTGGACATTTTCAAAGAAAAAAAATGTCGGATGTTTTGAACGGTATTAAACTTCACTTTAACCTGGATAATTGAAGAAAATTCAAGGGTTTAAATTTGCTTTCCATTTCTCTTCATCATAAGTGAACATTCCAATTGGTGACTGCAAATATAGGTTCATCACGCCAGTTCCTTCCTCGGACTTGTGTCACCAACAAAACTCAAACGCCAGGTTTGGAAAAACCAATGAAATCAAGACACCTCTGCCAGGCCATTGTTAGTTCCAATGTTACAATGTACCCAGTGCAGTAGTTAGTGCTATGAATACACCACTGTTTTACTGCACAGTGTTTGATTTGGAAGGAATCTTACATATCCTAGTCGCAATGCCCAAGGTGTTTTTTGAGGCAGAAGAATCCACCCATAAAGATATTCCAGAAACCCTTAGGGTGAGAAACCCTTCCACGATGTGTGTTGTAAGTCATCAATGTCAGCGTAACATTCCTAATTTTTCTTTTATGCAAGTATTCCATTGCTGTCAACTCACACTGCTGCTTTCAAAGTAAGCCACACATCAGAATATCATTTGTACAGTATATACACATGTAATATGACCGGCTTATTTTGGTATTACAAAGGCACTCTCTTTGACTGTATTAAGGCCAAAGGTACTCATTTTTAGCAATTAATAACTAGATCAGACTTCAATTTTTCCCTCCAGGAAAAGTTCATTTTATGATATATATCTTGGCTAAAACCAAAGAAAATTCAACAAAAGATTGAAATAACAAATAAACACAAGAAAAACTCCTCTGCCTGCAATGTGCGCTGGGACAAAAGTACCAAGGAATCTGTATATTTCCCAAGGCTGCAATATCCACAATAGAAATACACTCCATGAACTATCAAAATCCAAACAATGTATGTACAAATAAGTAACACAAACCAAATATTTACAACCTTTAACTCAACGTTGTAACTTAAAACATAACCGGGGAGTATCTTACCCAATGAACCCTAACCAGGGTAATCAGCAATTTTCTTTTGAACCCAGTGTTGCAATCACTATATCAAACAGATTAACCTGTTTATAAATGTATGTACAAGACATCCAGCAATAGTTAACATATCAAACCACTGCTTATGGATTAACCAGTTTATCAACCCTAGTCATCCAATTGGCAGAGCAGAGCTACACCTCTCTTGATCCAGTGCTGGACCGGTTTATCAGTTGGCAACTCCATGGGCAGGACAAAGTTAGTGGAGTGTCCAGTTGTTGACAGCGTGCCTCTACGTTCGCTGGTCTTGTACAAGGGGCACACATAGTCAGCTTTGGGCTTGAATTCGGCTTTCTTCCCTGAATAAGCAATTCATGACAAATTCAAGGAATTGAAATACATGTTGTGCTGACGCCAAAGATGTCTCCAAATATATCTGGTAATTACAGTTTTGTAGTAGTATGTCCATAAGTCAGTCTTATGATAAGGCCACCTGACCGACAAGGGACCCAAATCAAATTTTGGCTTTAAAATTCAAACAGCAAAGAAGTACAAGTCTGTTAATTCATTGGACGCTCTTGGAAGGATATTTTTCTGTGTTTTCATTTCCACTTTTTCATAGCTTTTTCTCCTTCGAAGTGTACCATTTGCTTTGGCCTCTACTATAAAGCCACATCTACAATCATGACCTTGTAATTCAACTTACCAGGCTTGATCCAGATCACAGGAACAGGGTCAAACAGAACTTTGGGCATTGACTCCGCAAGAATTCCCCTGCAAGAAAAAGAAAAGCCAAATATAAACACTTTGGTATTAGAATATCATTAACAAAAGAATTTCCCCACCACTGTCATCACCTCCATCATAACCCATGTTAAGAGGTGGCTTTTGCTTCCGACAAAACACGGCGGGTCACATGTTACTGAGGGTGAGGCCTATACTCACTTCTTTCGGTCCCAGCGAGCTCCGTCTAAGAACAGACCGTTCACGTACACGCCATCCTCGGGAGGCTTGTCCACTGTCTCACAAGGTAAGACCTGTTTGAGAGGAAAAATGAAGCTGGACTTGAATTTTTCAGGGCCTCACATTAACCGAAAATTTGCAAACGGCAAAGTAACTGTGCATGTAACAACACAAGGTGTACTTCAAAAGTTTTCTGAAGAATACGCGTGAAACACATTCTTATTTGCCTTACAAAAGAGGGATTTTCTTCCCGATACAAATAAGTGTGCTCTGATCATGCAAATACAAATTAAGGACATATGAAAAGCAATGCTATCTGAGGTAAGTCATGAAAAATCACTACGCTTTGGATGAAGCATCTCTTTAAAACCGGCCAGAGCCAACAACTCCTCCAAGCCTACCTCAAACTCAAAGCCGCACTTGTCGATGGGAATGGTGTACTTGCGGGCGTAGTTCTGCATGGCGCCCGTCAGGAAAGCCTGGGTGAAGAAGAAACCTGATAGCCAGAAGATGTCCGGCTTCTGGTTGTCGTACCAGTCCTGCAGGAACTTGAGCCGGCCCAGGAAGTCGGTGATGTAGCTGCCGAGAGGCTTGAGGGTGGAGTAGGATCGCTTGGCCCACATCTCGGGCACCTGTGGATAGACACGTCGAAAGCTGACTTACGCCAACGTAACTTTGCACATCATGTCGTACCACATTTCCCCGTAAGCATTGCCTTCTGGAAGCAAACTGTGAATGCTGGAGCAACGCATAGGATTCCTAATCGGGCACAGCGCACTGGAGGGATACAGGCATTCAAATGGGCACAACTTGATGCAATAGATGACTAAAAGAGGAAGGAAAGGCGAGGGAGTGGTGGTGGGTAGGGGTGGAGACGAGAACAGGTTACACGTCATGGGAGTGACAGGCCTACCTTGCCAATGAGGAGGCTACTGCCCACGGCTTCCAGCTCCGAGGACATGACCACCAGGCCCTTGATGGCTTTCTGCAGGTTCTGCAGGCTGCTTCGGATGGTCCGCATCAGACTGACAAGCAACAATGAAAAAGAACAAGGCCAGGTGAACAATCAAAATACAAAAGTACACCCAAGTACAATGGCTGATAATGGGTGTAAATGGCTCCAAAGACGCCAAGGACCAGTGCTTAGCCAGTCTCGATACCTGACTGTTAAGACTGTGAGTTCTGCTTCTTTGGGCAAATAATTCTCAACTTGCAGACATCCTCCGACTTGACAAATGAGCTGGACAGTTCATTTTGCAAGCTAAGTGATAATTGTTACACACCCTTCGAAAAAGGTACCACACAGAGAAAATGACTGTTTATTTGGAAAAAAACCCTGCTTGGACCCCCATTTCTTGAGATATGGACAAAACACGAATATATTAATCTTACTTGTTGAATCGTTCCATTTCCTGCACCAATACAGTGTTCATGCTCTCGTTGTACACTACTGGGAACTTCTTTAGAGCTGCCTCCAAATCATAGTCCTTGGGCAACTGGAGCAAAAAAATAAAAAAAAATAAATAAATAAACAAAAACAAACTACAGTCAGTAATTTCAATGTTTCCAGTAAAAGGTTGTTTCAACAGTGACTGAATTTAGACAGGACATATCAATGAAACTGCACGTCATGATGACGGAACGGTGCACCGATTTACAACACTTCCCTCAAGGGTGGCATAATCAGTAAAGTTTTAATTTTAAACCGTTCAGGTTTCAACATCAGAATCAGATTTTGTCTAGAGTTTGTGTCAGGTTTTCAGTGCTCTACGAAGGGAGAGGTTACCACTGAACTGTTACCACTTAAAATGACAAATTAAAGACTGTCTGTGGGATCCCACCTTGGACAGGATGTCATGGGCGATTTCATATAGCACGTCGTCCGTTTTGCCTCCCCCGGCGCTGGCCCGGCCTCCCTGGGTCAGCAGGATGGAATCAAAGATCTGCCTTGTCTCCTGCAGTGACTTGGAGATGTCCACGTTCTCGTGCATGCCAAAGATCTCGGGCTCTTGGGATAGAGGAAGGCCCTGATGACACACGATGAGATGAAGACAAGACACTTGATATGACATACTGGTTACACAGAGAAATGTTTTAACATCTCTCCTTTCAGGCAAATTCCCAGTCATTTAGTTTCGATCCTCAAAAGTCTGAATAGTAAAGTTCTCCTACTATCTGTCTTTACCGTCCACCATTTCAGGTCCATTTAGACCGAAAAGGAACTTTGGGAGACTTTTACAGGATTTGGGAAGCTAGAGCTCACCGGTAGTACTCCACATGGGGCTTGGTATCCTTTGAATGTTTACCAGCAAAAATGAGCAATCAGTTTCCTACACAGGGGTATGAAAATGTACGTAGCCCCTGGATTACGTACTTGGCAGTGCAGGTTTTGGGACTCTACGTTGGTAGTTCCACTTCACTGATCTCGGAATCTCTTTAAATGTTAAGTTACAAAAATCCCTAGGCAGACCCTTCATCAAAGGCAACATGGAACCTTCTAAAAAATGTGATTCGGAGCAAAAGTGCTACTACTTAACCAGACTGAGAAAAAATTAGGCCATCGGTCTACTTATCTTGATGTTTGTTTTGGAAGGGAAGTTTTCACCCACCTTGATGAATTCCAAGTACTCCTCGTAAGAGCTCTTGGGTGGGGCATAGTAGATGCCGCTGGGGGAGAACTTGTACTTGGGGTCGGAGACAATCTGGGGATTGATGAAATCAGCCAGGATGGTCAGCAGGCAGCGTCGGTCGCGGTCATCCGTCACGCGGCCACCGTAGTTGCACTCACCCGTCAGGTAGGAGACGGCATCGTACTGCACCTCATTGTAGTCATTAACAAACATCTGCATGGATGAATGGGAAGGAAGGAATGTCATGAATATGCATACAGACTACTGAATATTCAGTAACACGACATCAATCGTTCTTTCTCTTTTGCCTTTCTGAAGAAAGCAGGCACCGTGATCTGAATGGGCGATGAAATAAACATAAGCTTGCTTCGCAACTCAATTTGAGCAAAAATGATAAACCTGGACGATGATTAGCGGTATGATTGCCGTCTTACCTGTAACTGTCTGATGCTAATGCGGAGATCTGACTCGTTGAAACCGTAAGGAATGTTCCAGCCTAGAGGGCCAAACTTTCGGCGTTCTTGTACCAGGGCGTGGAAAAAACACATTCCAAACAGCAACTTTTCCCAAGCCTTGAAATGAAACAGCAATTAGGAATTTTTTAATATACACAAATAAATTCTTATGCTGAAAATAAGGGGGTTAACTTACTGTTTTTGCCAAGTTCACTTCTGAATATAAAATATAAGAGCTTAAGAAATGAATACTGACCCCCTCCTTCCCAGGGCACGATGCGAAGAATTCCTCGTCACTTATTGGATCGCTGAGGTATGACTGTAGTAGGTTCATACGCAAACCTGTTGGTGGTTCGTTTGTCATCTTCACACCGTTCTGGAGAACAGTGACTGGGAACTGATTGAGGAAAAGCAAGAAAAGTAGGCGTTCTTGAGCAATGGGATACACTTCTGATTGTCCACAAGAAGCTGCACTAACTTTGGGCAATGTCTTGTGTGAATCAGAAAGGTGCTCAACAAACAAGGTTAGGAAAAACTGATGACTGGCCAAAATGCTGTGTCTGGTACCGTGCCAATTTTGGCCGAGTAGGGACATTTGATTTTTAAAAACCACATTTCCTGTGTAGAAATAGTCCTTTACATTATAGATATGAATTTGGTCGGGTACCTTGTCTGATGGATAGCTGGTCAGCCACAGCCTGAAGTCTGGATTGACTGTCTCTGGGGTAAAATCCTCACAGATCTTCTCCAGCGCCGTCATCCAGGAGACCGCCAGGTGGCAGTTCTGCAGCACCACCCAGGTGCCATCCTGCTTGGCTGCCTCAATCAGCTTGGCTGCCACAGGACCCTAGGTTAAAAAAAACAAGGCGGAAGCAATGCTTTAGTCTACACGTGCTTGAAAAGGTTGTCTTCTTTAGAAGATTCAAGCATACTGATATTAAAAGAACATCATATGTTTGCAGATTGTTATCAAGATTAACTTCAAGGAATTGACTGGTTTTCTACTCTACTCATTTTAATACAACTCTGTCTTACAACTTATAGCCTTAAATGTTGAACTAGCATTTGTAAGTTGTCAAAGTAAGTAAAGGTAACGCTGCACTACTGTTGTTTAATTATGATTGAACACATTCTTCAGAATTAGTTGTGCTGAGAGTAGAACACTTGGTACCATCAGGACTTCATTAAGAAAGACCGCTATTGTTTACTTGACAAGTTTAGAGATTGATATTAAATTGTTCCTAACTTGATGATAAAATAACACATGTGAATATTTCTAGTCTGAAAACTCGAGCAAACTCTGACCTGTCCCTGTCCCAGTGATATGGCGTTGAATTTCTCCCCGCTGAACCCCTTGTCGCCGGCAAACTTCAGCAGGGCGGCCATGGGGTCGGCGCCGGGGGACAGGACAAAGATGAGTGGGGCGCAGGAGTGGGAGTCGGTGAAACTCTTGGCCAGGTCAAAGGGGGGAGGCTGGACAAACTTCTGGCCCAGCTTGCTGATGACAAAGTCGGTGACCAGTGGCCCCACCTTCAGGAATAAAGGCAGGAATTTTAATGTAGGTTATCGGCTGGGTTGCCAGACAAAAACGAGAAGAAAAGTCCAAACGGCACAGAAAACAAAGTAAAAACTTTACTCTGACACCTAATGAACTTTTCTTCATCTGAGAAATTTCAAATTGCCATGATGTCACACCAAAGTTAGATAACACATACCAAATCAAAAAAAGGCATTTTAAGAAGTACATTTATATGAAAGGTGTTGGAAAACCAAGCGTCTCCTGCTCTCAATTATGGTTTGAACTTTGAAATGAGTCTTTTGAAATACGACATGATAATCAATGGTACAACTCTCAAAGAAAGGCGACGAACATGTTAACTCTGACAAGACAGGGAGATTTTCTAAAAGTGTGCACAACAAAAAATGCCAGTTTCTAACCTTGTCTGGTCTGAGACACCTGATGACAATTGCCTTCTGGAAGTCGGAGAGCTTCTCACTCCAGGGGGCGGGGAAAGTCTCTCTGTGGGGCTCCTTGCTGTTGTACAGTGCTCTCCAATCCTCCAAGTGGTCCTGGAAGTGATCCCTGTGGAAGGGCAACAAATCAAGAGGTACAAAGTCAGCATATCTGCAATGATCTCATGTTCAATGGAGCAAATGATTATCCAGAGTTGTCATCTTGTATGGACTCTCACACAAGGTGTCCATTTTTGTTTACGAACAAAATCTGGTGTGCAGATCAAGCTTGTTGTAAGTTTATAAAAAGACAAAAAGTCCAAGCAGCAGAAGTTTTTGTAGGTTTTGAAATCCTTCACAGAACACATGGGAAGTAAGATCCATGACTTCAGATGTCATTTTTTCCACTCGTATAAAACTCACAATAATCACTTGACTGTACTACCTGAATCCTTTGAAGGCCTGCCGGTCACACATGCGGCAGATCTCGTCCCAGCTCCTGTCCGAGAGCCAGGAGGGGTCAGGATTCTCCAGTTTGTTCTCTAGCCCTACGCCGCCCGTCAGGAAGAACATGAACTCCTCCTGGTCCATCTCCTTCTTGTCCCTGTCAACCAGGATGAAGGGAAGAGGTGTAAGAAGGGAGGTCAAAGAGCTGTACATGAGAGTATGATGTCAAGAGTAAGGAAGACAGTTTTGAAAGCGTCCAAGCTAGGAGTTTTGCCCGTCTTCCTTGACTTGAATAAAAATGTGATGGAACTGATGAAAATGTAGTTGACGTGTCCACGACTTGAAACTAGAAACAGTGACCTATGATGGCTGCATTGTAAATCTCACAACCAAGGGCTTTATTGTCACTGGTCAAATTAACTTATCAAGGGAAGTCTTTAAATAAACCATCACGGTTCAATTCACACAACAAGGCAACATAAATGTAAGTCTGTCTTCAACTTGACAGAGATATTCAAATAACCCTAACTCTTGGAAACCTGAAATATCCTCGAAGAAATGATTTCACTTCACTAAACTATGACAATCACTGTCCATGTAAATGGGAGTTTGTCTTGTTTAAAATTGTTTCTGGTTCCTTGTGAAACAACCATGGCACTCCTGAATTGGTCTCTTCGTTAAAAGGATTACTGTAAATCTCATGACACTGATCCACTGCAACAGTAGGGCAGCACCAAAATGTGAAGACATTATTTGCTTGTGACAACGTACCTTACAATTCAAAATTTAAATAATCACCATTGCCCTGTAATCTAAGATGACCATTCAATTTTGGAAGTCTGGGTTTGTGAAATTTTTCAACTAAATTGTTTGCTTTGTTTTCTGAAAATATTGGAGCCTTTCTGTTGCAACGGTCAAGCGATAAAACAACCAGAACGAACATTCACCCACGATTCAAATGTTATTGAAAACGAACAACTTTGAGAAAAATACAGCACAACACAGCTGCAAAGTGCTGTTCTAAAATTCCTAAAAGATCATTTTTCCAAAAACTGGGATGGAATATCAACACATCAATGGCCAACACATGAGCTATCATTGGTTTAAAAACATCTCACAACATGAAATAATAACTGCTCTCTTCAATTTTTTTGGGATAACACATTTCAGGAAGTCCTTGAACAAAAAAATGAACTGATATTCAATAGCCATTATATTATCAATGGAGTACAGTAATGCATTAAAAATCAAAATTATAGCTGAATGTAAAACAATTAAAGATCAAATTAAGTATATGAAATTGTACAATGTGAAATGTGAAATTTGAAATAAATATATGATTTACAATTAGTAAACTGAAAAAAATGATAAAGACTGTGGGGGTAACTTACGCATGCTGATCGCCCTCCGCACTGTGTGGATGATAGGAATGGTTGTAAGAAAAAATGAAACATGCATAGAGGAAAAATAATTGGTGAGATGTTTAAATTGCACATGCTCATGAATATTCAGAAAGCAGGTGGGAGATGTTTGGATACGCAGGATTAAGCTTGATCTAGAGTCAAGCAAGGGGTATAATATCTAAATTTGCATATCTATGCAAATGTGGTGCTAGAAAAATGAATGAATATATACTGCAATGATGCACTGGCCTCAGATAGGAGCTATGTTCGCAGAATGTTTTGGCCAATGATAGTAAGCAGGTCATGCATATTCATTAGAAGGTCAATGGGAATCCTACACACATGCAATTACTGGAATACTGAATGTTAAATTAAGGGAATCTGAATGATGCAGGGTGGGCTGGGGCTGATGTTGGGGGGGGGTGTGAACAAAAGGTTACATCAAGCATTATCTACGTTGATGGTGATAAAATCCGAGCAGCCTCCTGACAAGCAGGTCCCGAGCTCTCATCAGACTTATTCTTTTCTGATACAAGTGGTGGCTTATACACGCCACTATGATATTCCGACAGCGCACGTCCCTGTGGAAAGTGCCCAAGGTCACTCGGGAACAGCAACACATATGCACGATGTCTGCCCTATTAAGCTTAGCTGTACACCAACTGGTACACATGCTTTATTCCTGAGTGGCCATTTTGAAATATTGAAGTGGATTATTGAAACCAACTCACAGTAAAAGCCTTCTCCACATTTTTTAATCTGTATACCATTTAACAAGAATGGTCATAGCATTTTCACTCATGGCATGAACTCTGGCCAGCCCACAAGGGTCACCTGGTCAACTGAATCCAATAAAGCACTTGCAGGCAGAAGGCTGAGGGTTCGAGTACCACCTGATTCAACTTTTGTCTATTTTTCTGCTATGCTCTCAGAAAGCACTAAGGAAAGAACTGCCACAACGAATGACGGGTAATAATCTTGATGAGACCCTAAGGTGTCCGTAACCTGAAT